TTCAACTAATATAAGAATAATAAAATTTTGATAAGATCTGTTTTGTTCGCATGTGTCACGGTTCCATGAATGCTAGTGAGTATTTTTTGAATAACTTTTGATAGAAACAAGATAGAGAGCTGCGGTGTTCACCGTTGGAAAGAGAAAATGAAGATGCGCCGAATCATATATTATACACTTTTCTAATATTGATCTTTGAAGTATTTTGATTCAATTTTCTAAGTGTCGGAAAAATATTTTTTTTATATGGAAAAAGGAAAAAGCACAAAAGTGAGCTTTTTTCACAGATTTTGCTAGAAAATTCCATTAGAAGCTCGATTAAAATGCATATTATTCATCTCAACCTTTCGCTGGTTCAACCCACTAGTTGTAGATCTTCGATTAGTGGGTTGAATTTACACTAGATAATTGAAAATTCACTGTAAAGAACTTATCAAATATGTTTGTTCTTAAAAAGGCCAATTGAAAACCTTACAAGAAACAGAACAAGAAAATCTATAATATATGATTCGATGAGTCTTCATCTCCTCTTTCCAACGGTGAAAACCGCAGCTCTTTTTGTTGCTTCTATCAAAAGTTATTCAAAAAATACTCATTCGAATTTTTTCAAAATTAGTATGAATACAACCGGCACATAACCAGCCGAAATAGGTTTAAAGATAATTTAAGATTATGATATTAGTTGAAGTACAATCAAATAGCATAGAAAGACAGAGCGTTTTCTTCTCTATCAGATTATATAGATGAAAGTTACTTTAAGCCTACTGTATGGTATTAAAGTGTCACTGCCCGTACTTTTGGTATGCCCTAAGTATTATTTTTACATCGTTGGGGTATAGCAGAGGTTCACTGTGGTTATATTTTAGTAAAATCTGCAGAGAACTACGTGTGCGCTAAATTCGCTAGAATCACCCTTTTCGATTTACCCGCAGATCACGGTGGTTACTTTTGTATAAAACTGCGGTCCGAGGTTGGAAAAAAAGATATCCGCCTAGATCGGCGGTTATTTTAGAAAGGGAGTGATTCAGCCACTCCCTTTTAAAACGCATAAGCGGTTCTCGCCGGTCATGTTTTTTCGAAAATTTTTGTTCCGCCTACCAAGATGTTTTCTCTCCTAAAGCTTGCTGTAACCTAAGCCGAACAAGAACGCTCAAAACTGGCGAAAACCGCTGGTAAAACGTTCTTTGGTCTCTCTCTATATTAAGAGAGACGAACGATATACGATTTTTATGTGTTGAACGATTTTCTCTGACTCATTAGTTTGATTTCACAGAAATTATAAAAGTTCAAAATTATATGTCAACTGCACAAAACTTGTGTTCTTCTATCATTAATAGAGTCGCAAAACAAATCAGTGAATGAGTTGCATTGACTCACGGGTGTTTCTCCAAGAACAAAACCACTCGCCGATATCCGCCGTCTTTGAAGTTCTTTCAGTAGCAATCACAGTGAACCGTACATGTTATATGGACAATCGCAGACAACGGCAGTCATGACCGATGACCGCTTGCGCTAATATACAAAAAAACGAGTTAGAACTTGACGACCTTCGAGACCTGCGGTTTTCTGGTGAATAACCGGTTAAACCTCCTGTTTACCGGTGCTCCACCGGCGAGAAGCGGTCTGATATCCGCATGAACCGTGTATAAAATGAAATCACATGCGGTTACCCGTGCAGTTTAACGGCTATAGATTCGTACTTGGGAATACATGAGAAAATCATTCCATTTGTTTTTATTATCATGCAGACATACTCTGGCATGAAATTCGTTGTCACTCGTAGCTTTTTCCATAAGAAAGGAATGAAATAAGTAAATTACCCAAAAAATAAGCATATTTTCAAACATATGCCAGCAAAAGGACCTGTATACTTACTGGATGAACAGACCATGAACAAAGACAGAATTTTTTGTTCCTAGACAAGTCGAATATTATGTCCATGGATATTGACAAACACACTTGATTATTGTAGGCAGATCTCTAATTTTGTGAGACAGTGTTTTTCGCTGTATAAAGTATAAATAACGTGAATCGCATCGATTCACTAAGACCATTGCCTATAAGCCGAATGAATGTACTGTCGGGATTATTATTTATTCTATTGTAACCCGATCTTGTTACTACAGAATTGATGGATATTTTTCGCAATGAGAACGTCCATATTTTCCATCTTAGTTTACAGAAGCAGTTGCTATAACTTTTCACCAGTCAGAGAAATTTATCAGAATTTCTGTAGTTCATCGAGACTCTGTAATTTGATTTGGTTTTATCTGCCATACAGAAGCTCGAAATGGATGTAATGCTACCAAATCTATCAGTCTTCTTGCCTTTGATAACGAAACCTAAGTGGGAGCAAAGTTTGGCCTGGTTCAACGCTTACACCTCCCTTCGGTCGGTGTTCGCTAGGGACTATCTACCATGCGTTATGAATATTTCTCTGATACGATGTGTCAGCTTCGTGAAGTAGCTTTAATCTATACAAGTTTTCTCGAGAGCCCCCAAAGAACCACAGAGGTCTAAAAATATTTCTGAATTCCAAACGATGCTCACGCGTGTTCTACTTCTCTGATTCCGCAGAAAACTCGAACGTATCAACCTATGTGGATCTATGTCCGTCACACTCGTNTTCGCTAGGGACTATCTACCATGCGTTATGAATATTTCTCTGATACGATGTGTCAGCTTCGTGAAGTAGCTTTAATCTATACAAGTTTTCTCGAGAGCCCCCAAAGAACCACAGAGGTCTAAAAATATTTCTGAATTCCAAACGATGCTCACGCGTGTTCTACTTCTCTGATTCCGCAGAAAACTCGAACGTATCAACCTATGTGGATCTATGTCCGTCACACTCGTTAGTGACTATATGTATGTACGTAAGCAAATACTCTCCTGCTTCTCTCTCCCCGTGTTCTTTTATTTTTTCTTGATACATTTTTCTTCTTCTTCCAACGAACGATGTTGAGCATAAAATCTTTTCTTAATTTCAGAATGTGCCCTTCGATAAGTAGCATGCTGTTGTTCAATGATACCGTTAACTTCGAATAATTCTAGACCAAGTTGTTGTTCTCTTTTGTCAATATCTTGCAGCACAACTTGAAGTTCGGTCTTAGCTCTTGTTGCAGCATCTTGAATAGAAATACATTGATGATCCTTATGTTTGAATAAAAGACAATCACGGCAAACTGGCAGCTGACATCGAGCGCACCAATATTTAATTTTTTCATCCGAATGTTCAGTGCAAAATACAGATGCTTTTTCTGCCAGTGGTACAACACTATGAGATTGTAGTGTCTTGATTGAATGTACAGATTTTGTACATGAATCGCAGTAGTGACTGGAGCATTTCTCACACCAGTGCACAGCCCGCTGTTGATCACAGTTATCGCATTTAACTTGTTGTTGCTCTGGGTTCAAAGAAAACATGCTCATTTTCGAAGCGAGTTCAACCATATCTTTGGCTGCACGATTTATAGGTAGTTGGTAGATATCACGTGTATTGACAGTTGAGTCATCTCTGAATGGACATTGGAAAGAACCATTATTAAGCGCGCATTGTTGAATACATTTGAAACAGAACGTATGTGAACAGGGAAGAATACGTGGATCTTCATAATGATCCAAGCAAATTGAGCATGATACGAGGTCTCGAAGTTCTTCTATGTACGGATCCCTTGCAGCGGCCATTTCTAAACGGAAAAAGCTCCATAATTATAAATAAATTTTGCCAAGTAGTACCAGCAGCTATTTTCTTTTTAAATCCGTCACTTTTCCTCTTAAAGCCCATGTACAACGACTATTTCATCGACGTCTTCGCTTGAGCGTTAATGTGGTAAAGAAGGATTCTTGGTTTGCTTACGTCGCAGTCGTTTTTCCCCTATTTACTGTCGTTGAAAAGCAGAAAAAGAATATTCGCACTTTTTGTCACGATGATGAAAGGCTTCTTCCGATCGATTCTGTTCTGTTCGGACAATGACTAGAGTGGTAAAACGGACAAACGTTTGATCCACTGCCAATAAATAGAGGAGCTCCTCAACGGTTCATTCTTGGACCGCTGCTATTCCTTCTATTTACTGACGATATTTCTTTACAAACACAGTCAAAACTAAGATTATTTGCTGACGATACATCTCTCTATCACAGTAGTAATAATATTTTAAGTACAACCGACATCATTAATTCTGACTTAGAAAAATAAATAACTGGTCTAAATATTGGCAATTGCTGTTCAATTCCCAAAATGTGTTGCAATATTATTCGGTAAAGTATCATCCATACCTTCTTCCTTTGTGGACAAGTCGTTGAAAAGCAGAAAAAGAATATTCGTACTTTTTGTCACGATGATGAAAAGCTTTTTCCGATCGATTTTATTCTATTTGAACAATAACTGCATGGAATACAAAACAACACAGTCGATTGCAATCTCAGAGGAGGCACACACAACCAGTTTTTTTCTTTCTGATCAAACATATGAAAGAGTAAAAACTACTTATGAAATTTCCACATCTATGACTGTGATTGCGAAATACTAGTTTTGTTTGCATATAATCGAAAAAAAATAATTTGTTGCATACTATAAGAGAATGAAAACAGCTGAAATCAATTACGCCAAAAGTGAAACTCGTAGTAAAGACAGAGACGATGATTTGAAAAGGTGCTTGAGAATCTAAGATTAAAATTTGACTTTCTCTAAAATGTAACATATTCTGTATAACAGTCGCTGCTTCGTTTGGTTTGTATGTATAGTACCACTACCAATAACAACTGTGAGAGTCAGAAGCACTATGGCAACTACTATCGATCCATAAATACAGTGCAGAGTGGCGTTTTTCGAATAACTTTTTATGGAAAAGTCCTAGCGATCTACGGTTTTTACCATCGTGTAGAGGACGATTTTTGCCCTTAGAAAAATAGT